AAAAAAAAAAAAACCTGTAAGAGAAGGATGGACTAATACCCCTATTTAGAGAGCTGCGAATCCAGGAAATGCCGCTCCGAAGTAAACAGTAACAATACCACTGCACCGCTGGAATGGCGAAATTAAGGAATAACAGCTTTTCGAAGTTTCCAAGCAAATCTGTTTCTAAATTCTCGAAATCTTGCAAGGCACTTACTTTTCCGGAATTTAAGTTTAAAGCCTACATCCTCGCCGACAGTTGTCCGGAAAATAATCACTGCGAGATGCTGAGCCGATACAAGTGATTCATCTGGTTTATCATAGCAGCATATCCTACAAATCGGCTGGACAAAGGATTAATAGCGGAAACGTGGGAAAACTAGCCAAAAAGGAATGAGCAAGTGTGAAAAGGAAAATTGGAGAAGGCCGACCATCCTTATCCCAGGCCCGTGTCCTTCCCAAGCTCCCCTACCCCTCCCACCCTTCTCCCGCCTAACTCCCAGCTCCTTCCTCTCGTATTGTGCATATTTCATAGATCTTCCACTCGTAAGCCCTGTAACAAATCACTTAGATTTATTTTGCGTTAGAATTTTTAGTGTTTTTGTTGTGTTCTCTTGAGTGTATTTCAACGTCATTTGGGATGTCGTCGCCGCCCAACATGTTCTACTCTATATCGTTGCTGTTAAAAAAGTTTCAGTTTCTGACAACCGAGCACCATGTCCCAGAGTGTTACAAATCGACACCCAACAGTTCTTACACACCAGAACTTTTCTTGCTTCCGACAGAGATTTCATGGTCCGACAGTTCGTCGGACGCGGCGCAAAAGAGGTCACTAAGAATGCTTGCGAGGCGGACGTCACAAAACTGAAGTTTTAGTAAGCAACTAATCGGCAAAAAAGTGATTCAACAATTAAAATTAGCCTACCTATAACCAGTATTACCCATGTCGTTGCCAATTTTCAGTTCTACAAAATCGACACAAGTACTTGAGCAAAATATTCCAAAATCTTCCACAAAGCTGATTTCGATTCTTTTGTCTGAAAAAAAAAAACGTGAGAAAAACACCCGGGTTTTCTTTGCAAGCTGGAGCTTTGAAAAATTCACGATATTATTACAAACAAATATACACAAAATTTAGCCTTCGCTGGTTTCGATAAGCCAGTTGCACGAGTCACCAACTGAATATCCGTCAGGATATCCTGGAGATTCGATATAACTCCAATCATCACCAGCTTTTAACATTCCGCCACATGAGTTATCCGCTGAAGCATTCCGCTAAAGCATTTTTTGATATAGTCGAGAATACTAAGTGTTAGTTTCATTGTCGGACCAGGAGAGGAGGGAGGAGAGAGGGTTCTTCCGTCCTCCCCCAGGGACTGAGATAGCAGCTGTTTTAGTGTATAAAACTCCGCTGGATTTCCCGTGTCCCCTTCCTCCTCCCGTAGGAGCTCCCTCGCCACTCTCTCCTCCCTCGGTCCTCGTTGCAGTTTATAGTCGACTAACGGGAGGGGGCCGGAGTAGTGGCATGATTGAAGGGAGGTAGCGGGGTTGCTGAGGAGGGGAGGGGGAAAATGTGGGACGGTGTGGTGATGACCTGGGGAGGCGAGGAGGGGGGAAGAAAGAAAACGCCCCCCCCC